TCCCGCACTCTTAAATTCTAAATTGCATGAAAGAATGTATGGTTAATTAAAAACAAGCGTAGCTCACAATGCCATGATCAAAGATAACTGTTAAACTGAAAACAACACACAAATACACACACCACTTCTAGGGTACGCCTCACCTGTTGCCTTCGAAACGTGGTCGTCAAGTATAGGACGTTTTAGTAAGTCCTTATGTCCACGAAACAGTTGCCTCGAAACAGTTGCCTCGGAATAGTTGCCTCGAAATGGTTGCCTCGGATTAAAAAAGGATCAAGGACATAAGGGTAGCTTCTAAGGTGTCCCGTTGTTGCTTCGGTGACCACACTGTCCCTACAATCGAATTGACCCGAACACCTCCAACGGTGGTGCTACCTACCTCTCAATGGTGGGATGGAACTACCTTAAGGACATTTACACAGCCTAATTCCTTAGGGTAGGTAGACGACTCATGGATACTTTCTCTATTCAAAAACAAATCAAAAACCTTTTCACACTGACACTTTCAAAATCTTTCAAAGCAAATTTTTCAAACACTCTTGAGGACAGATACAAGAGTTATTCAGAAATCTTTCAAAGAAACTTTTTCAAGCCCACTCACATTTTGAAAAGCAAACATTTTGAAAACATAAGAGCAAGTATCTAAGAGCCCATGGATAACCATGGATAGAAAGGGTGCTAACACCTTCCCTTTCTATAAATCTACCTCCCGAACCGAGAAACTATCTCATAAGGAATTTTGCTGTGCTTTTGTCCTGTCCATGTTGGAGAAAATAAAAGACGGTGGCGACTCTTGCTTCCGCGACATTTCATGAACCAACATTTAAAAACGGTCAGTTCTATTTCCACCGATCACAGTAGGCACACCTCTCATCAGGATTGTACTTCAGGGAGGTTATGTTGAGCTTGAGAATTCACATGGGGGACAAGATCGTGTAACACATTTGTCCTTTCATGGTAGTGGAATAAAATGTTGATTGTACCATGCACTATTTGTACCATGTTAACGTTATCTTCTTTCCTTCTGCACTTTAGAGGCTTATGTGAGCATGAGCTTAGAAGAGAGAACATAACACAAGGTCATAAGAACTTCAAGTCTTCAGAGTCTTCAGAGTCTTCAGCACTTGGTCGTGATAACCTTTTCTAGAACCTTGGGTCTTTAGAACTTCAAGTCTTCAGAGTCTTTATAACGTCTATCTTCAGAGTCTTTAGCACTTGGTCTTTAGAACCCTTTTCTTAGAACCTTGGGTCTTTAGAACTTCAAGTCTCCAGAGTCTTCAGAACTTCGTCTTCAGATTCTTTAGCACTTGGTCTTGAGAACCCTTTGTCTACAGAAACATGTGTCTTTATCATCTAGACTTCAGTAGAAACTTATGTCTTCAGATATTTTGACTGGTTTCTTTAGAACATGTTGTCTTTAGAAGAATTAGTCTTTAGCATCTGGACTTAAATAGAACTTCTGTCTTCAGATCTTCTGACTTGTTTCTTTAGATAACATATCAGAGCCTACACTTCAGAAGCTTCTATAGTGTCTTGCTACTATTCATCAGAACTTATGTAGCGCAGAAGCGGAACTAATTCTATTCTAATGTCTTGGCCACACCATCCATCAGAAGCAAAACCTATTTTTTAAATACTAAAAAAAATAACAAAAATTAGAGTATCAAAATTGTCCATACAAACATACTCATTTGTTATCATGAAAACTCAGATGATATTGCACAACCAAATCTTGTTCTAACACTTCCTTCTCTTATCATGATAACTCTTCTGACGACTCTAAGAAGTTTTCGTCATATCTTGTATCATCTTGATCTTTTCAATGGTTTCCCTCACAATCTCAGGTCCGAGTATAACACTCTCTCCCGACTCATACCAACATAATGGAGTTCTACACCTTCTACCATACAGTGCTTCATACGGTTCCATCCCAATACTAGAATGGAAACTATTATTGTATGTAAATTCAATAAATGGAAAGTGACTATCCCAAGATCCTCCTTGTTCTAGAACACAAGCCCTTAGAAAATCCTCCAAAGACTGGATAGTCCTCTCGGTTTGACCGTCTTCCTGCGGATGATATGCAGAACTCAACTTCAACTTGGTACCAAAAGCATTTTGCAAACCTGTCTAGAATTTCGATGTAAACCTCAGATCTCTATCTGACACGATGCTTGAAGGTATCCCATGCAACTTCATAATCTCATCAATATACAATTTGGCCAGCTTCTCAATAGGATGATTAATCTTCATCGGTAAGAAATGAGCCGACTTATTAAACCTATCCACTATCACCCAAATTGAATCATTGCCTTTAGCAGTAATTGGTAAACCCGACACAAAATCCATAGAGACGTTGTCCCACTTCCACTCTAGAATACTCAAAGGTTGCATAAGACTTGTAGGCTTTTGATGCTCAATCTTCGACTTTTGACAAGTCAAGCAAGCATACACAAACTTAGCAATTTCCTTCTTCATACCTAGCCACCAAAACAATTTTTTCAAATCCTGATACATCTTCGTATCACCTGGATGAATACTCAAATTGCTTTAACGTCCCTCTTCAAGAATTCTCTTCTTAAGCTCTAAAATTTCAAGAACACACACTCTATCATCAAACCTCATCACCACATTCTCATCAATTCTGAACTTATCTCCTTTACCTTGGTTAATCAAAGTCAATTGATCAACTAACTTCAAATCAAACTTCTGACCTTCTTGAATTTCTTCTATCATCCCACTGGTAAATTTCAACATTCCTAATTTCACACTATCAGGAGTCTCTACACACACCAATCTCAGATCTTGGAATTGTTTGATCAACTCTAACTCCCGAACCATAAGCATCAACATATGCAAGAAATTCCTACTTAACACATCGGCAACCATATTTTCTTTACTGGAATGGTAACTCAAATCACAGTAATAGTCTTTCAGTAATTAAAACCACCTTCACTATCTCATGTTCAGTTCCTTCTAATCGAACAAATATACTAGAATCGAAACAATCAGGTTGGTTGTTGGTCTTGCAGAAATAAACAGTTGGTACAAATGTCAGATGGACATGAAGTGTGCATTCCTAAATGGACCCTTAGATGAAGAAGTTTATGTTAAACAACTAGTTGGGTTTGTGAAACATGATGAAGAGAGAAAAGTGTACAGACTGCATAAAGCCCTGTATGGTTTGAAACAAGCTCCAAGAGCTTGGAATAAGAATATTGATAGTTTTCTAAGGGAGAAGGAATTTGTGAAGTGTACAACTGAACATGGAGTATATGTAAGAAGAAGCAATAGTGAATTTCTTATACTATGTCTCTATGTCGATGACTTGTTAATAAGAGGTAGTTGTAAGAAGGAGATCAAAGACTTCGAAGGTGATCTCAATAAGGAATTCAAAATGTCTGATTTGTGTGACATTTCATACTTCCTTGATATCGAATTCTATAATATTATTAGAGGTTTGATGATGCATCAAAGAAGATATGAAGAAGAAATTATCAAGAGATTTGAGATGGAAGAATGCAACTCAACGTCAACACTTGCAGAACCAAGACTCCAACTAGCGAAAGATGCATATGAAGATGATGTTGACCCAACCTAATACAGAAGACTTATTGGATCATTAAGATGCCTTTGTCATACAAGACCTGGCTTAGCATACAGTGTAGGTATGGTAAGTAGATTCATGCATAAACCAAAGGTATCACATCTAGCAGCAGTAAAGAGGATACTAAGGTATCTCAAAGGAACTTTCAACTATGGTACTTTGTTTCCTGCAGCTGATAAAGGAAAAAAATGCAAGTTAGTGGGATACACTAATTTGAGTTGGTGTAGTGATGTTGAGGATCGAAAATTCACAGTAGGATATGTGTTTATGTTAGGTGGTGCACCAGTTTCTTAGATTTTGAGAAAGGAAACGATAGTGACATTATCATAGTGCGAAGCAGAATATATAGTTGCTTCTCTTTGTGCATGTCAAGCAACGTGGATGGTGAATTTGGCCGAAGAGATAACAGGGAAAGATCATGGAGAAATTAACATGAAAATTGACAACATATCAACTATCAACCTGTCGAAGAACCCGATAACACATGGTCAAAGCAAGTACATTGAAATGAGGTTCCACTATCTTCGAGAGCAGGTAGAAGATGGGAAGATAAACTTGGAACACTGTAGAACTGAGAATCAGATTGCATACATCATGACGAAGGGTGTGCAAGTTAAAGTATTTTGAAGACTAAGAGCTATGATGAATGTAGATAGCTTAGACACAATGAGTTAGGTGGTGTGTTGAAAGTAATTCCTTGTGTTGAAGCGGTTTGCTCGACAGAGACAAGAGAGTGTCGAAAAGATTTAATTTAGAAGTGTGGAAACAATTTGTTACACATAAATTCTTTTTAGATTTAGATAGATTTGATTTAGATATAAAATAAATAGATTTGATTTAGTTCCAAAATAGGTATTTTCAGCTTTTATAGTTTTGAGTTTTGGCATAGGGAGCAAACTAACATAAATCTATAAATAGAGGGAGTAACCCATATTTTTGTAATCAAGTCAATTCATTGTCACTTGCAAAGTGAATAATAAAGTTTTCCATAATTTGTGGACAGAGAGAAACTCTGCAGAAAATTATTTGTCTTATTTCTTTTCTTTTATATAATTCATTGTCATTTTATAGTGATATCAATCTTATTCATCATGATTGATAGAAATTCATCATAGATTTTGGTAGATTTCCAACATAAATAATATTTTCATAACAAGGTACTCATTCACTATTAATAAATGTTTTGTTTTATCAATAAAAATTGTTTATGAAGTGTATAAAAATGATATAGAATTGTAAAAAAAAAAGAAAAAAGAATTGTGTACGAAGTGACTCATTAATGTATGCTCATAACAAAAGATGACTCAAAATACTCTTAAAAAACATATGAAATATAATATAAGTTTTATTATAAGATTACATAATAAGTTCTGCAACGAGTCTCTCTACGCATTCAATAGTTAGTACAATCACTAGATTTGAAAGAGACAATATTTTTATTGAGGTCATAACCAACCAAATAATTCACTTGTGCCATGTTTCCAAAGAGGCCTAATCCGTTTTTATACGGGATAAATGCAAAGCATTCAACCCCCTTGTATAGGGAATAAAAGGCGCCCTTCGAATCTAACTTAACATCTGCGCCTTTAAAATGTGCCGTAATTGGTGGAAAATTTTGTTTGGATGTGGTATTGTAACAAAGGCGAAATGCATCTGTGTCATCTTGAAAACGCGGTAATTTAACCACTTTTTTCATAGCTGATTCCATCTTATAGTAAACACGATGTGGAAGAATACATACATTTGTACCAGAGTCAATTATGATATTATGGGTAGAAGCATTTGTTCCTTCACGTTTAAATCCTCTATATTTTATTCTTTTATTTCCCACACTAAATGCTTTCATAGTTAGGTAGTAATGGTCTTTCTGGCGGTTCCCTATCATTTTGACTATAGGAGTTGAAACAACATTATCACCGGTAACAATAGCATCATCTCCAAAATTGAGTTTGCTAGATCTATTAGATTTGCTATTGTGCTCATCAATTAAACAATATGAAAATTTTCCCCCAATTGAAGATCCTAATTGTTTTATTAGTGACGTATCTCCACTTCCAAATCCAATTACACCAGAATTTGGACCATTATACGTTGGCTCGCCATTATTGTGTCCACATCCTATAACTATTTTAGGAAACGAGACAAAAGAGCCGAAGGCAGAATCCAATGTAAGAGTCTCTTCACTAAGATCTCCATGTGTATCTATTCCATTACCATAATCTAATGTGTACTAGCAAGCATCTCCATCAGAAGAACAAGAAGTATCTTCCATAGATTTGCATGTTCTAGAAGAGCATGAAATATTTTTGTAACTCGAAGATTTTGAAGGATCAAAAATAGGAGAGGTTTGGTTGTAACATGAATTACAAGGTTTGCATTGAAGCCAGTTTAAGTTACTAGCTGTATCTAAAATCCCATAAACTTGAAACGGTGGGGTGCCAACTGAATAACTCATGAGATACTCACCGTAATCAAAGGGCATGTACGACTCAAGTTTGTTTTTAGTAGAAGAAAGTTCTTTGTAGAAATAATTAGCACGATTGATTGACCGACGCACAACATTAAAATTTCTTTGAAATTTAGTTTGTGTGGGGTTGTAAAGTGGTGATTTGAAAGAATCACGATGAATTAGTTCAACACTAAAACCATTGTTTTTTGCATGAGAAATAACTACTAAACAAGATAAACAAATAAAAATAAAGATAAAAAGTGAAAAATGAGACATTGTTCTTGACATTCGAGTGAAAACTTGTTCATCCCAATTATATACTTTCATTGCTTTATATAAGATGGAGAATATAAATAAATGAAAAAAAATTAATAACAAGAGAAACTATAGCGAACAAAATAATTCATCTATTTTCTATTATAAATAAAATTATAAATTTTAAATTATAATCAATGTATTTAGTCTATATAAAGATAAAATACATTCGTTATTATTTTTATTATCACAAAATATATATGTTATTGAATTAATACAAAAAGTAAAAATTATTTATAATAAATAATAGTAAAAAATAAGAAATATTAGTTCAATCATATATAAATATATCGATTAACTACTATATTTATTTTGGTAAAATAAATATATTGATTAACTACTATACCTATTTTAAAGATTTGATTTGACTTTTTGCTTACTAAATAAGATTAATTTATTTTCATTCAATGCAAATTTTAATATTTAATTAATTTCATATTATGATTTGGTATATTATGATATTTCTTTTTTTTTAAATCTATTCAACGAGATTGAGACATTTTATGAATTATTTCGTTTTGTTTCAGAAACTTAGTGATACATGGTGTAAAATAGTTTTATATTGGCAATTAATTATAATTATATATTTGATTATATTTTATTTTTATTTTAAAAATTTTTTTGATGATATAATAAATTGTTAACTTTCTATTAATTGATTATATAAAAAAAATTTCACTGACAATATATAAAAATTATTCTCTTTATTTATTACGTGGCTATGGCGTTTATTTTTAAATATAAGAAGAAGAAAATTTTTCTTATTCATTTTATAGATATTATAAGTAAATTGTTTTTGAAGATAGGATTGTTTATTATTATAAATGCATATGGTTAATAATAGAAAATATTTATTAAAACATTCACATTGAGCTTAATGCATAAATATTATTTATCTCTTTCAATTATGATGGTGTTTTTTAAATCATAATTTTAAGATAAAGATATTATTATTTTTGTAAAAAAAAAGATAAGAATCTTTTATGAATTATGATTTTTCGAATTATATTTATTTGTATTAATAAGATTTATATTTACTATAATTATTTGGATATGATTTTTTTGTTTATTTAAAAATAATTTTTTGGATATGAACTTAACACAAATTAGATGCAATTTATTTTATTTTGAATTTTTATCTAAAATTAAAAATGTTTAATTATATCTTTTACTTTGACATTTTTATTCATATCCTTCTGTTTTAATTCACTTTTTTTGTATTAAAAATAATTCTTAGAATATAAGGAATATAAATAGAATTTATTTTTTTAGTTGAATAGTCTAGAGATTGGAGTTCATTTAACTAAAGATGAAACATTACAATATAAATAAAATTTAATTAAAATGCATTGGTAGTGTATATTTTACACTATTAATTAATTATAATTATTGATTTGTTTGAAAAATTAATTTTTATTTTAAGTTTTTTTAAATTAGTACATTTGAATGATAATGATATATTGATAGTGTAAATAAACTTATATATAAATATTTGATAATTATATATATATATATATATATATATATATATATATATATATATATATATATATATATATATATATATATATATGGAAAATTTATGGCCTTGTTTTAAATACACATCTCAAATGATTATCGTTAAATAATATAATACAGAAACAAAGTTTTAATTGTGTAAATTTAATAAAAAAACTATATTGAGAACTCTGTATTTATTGATAATAACAGTTTGTTAATGTATTATTGTATAAGTTTTAGTCAATAGTATAGTTTTCTATTGATATAATTTCCACTAATGATATACTAATGATATTTGATATGATTCGAGTTATGCTTTAATGGTGGTTCTCACAATCTTTTCTTTTGGATGAAATTCAATATTGTGGTTGTCTCCAAAGCAACGCACTATTGAAAGATTGTTTACTGTGGTAGAATATTTGAATGTGGACAATTTTTTTTTAGTATAAATACATATATTATATAAAATTGGAGATTTACATGATTTCTTACCATTTTGGTATTGAATTGATAATCTTCGAATAATTAATTTTTTTAATTAAATAAAATAATTATTTTTATATATTTATATTATTAATTTATTCTTATTTTAATAAAATGTCTATATCATTGAAAATCTTATCATTGTTATAACTAAAGTCTAACAAAACTATATTTGAAAAAACTGTCTATCATCTTAAAAAGTTCAACGGTATATCCTTACTATTTAGGTTCATGTTGGATAAAAATAGGAGTTGACTTAGTTGATAGTTTATAACTTATAACTGATAGTTTATAGTTTATAATTGATGATTGATGACTTATAGTTATTAGTTGGAATTTTTGATAAAGCTTCCAAAATCGAGCTAAGAGAAGAGGAAAATGAAAAGACCTTGGTTGAAATTTTTGGACTCGTGGGCGAGAGCATAGTCAACGCACATATGGGCGACAAGACATTAAGATGGCAAATTGGATGTCGAGATCTGGTTTGAAGAGGGAGACGTGGACTTAGGATTTTTTTAGGTAACAAGTGCGGATAGTTCGACCAATGCAATTACGTTGACAGTTGAACCAAGCAAACATGGTGTGGTAACCACTTCTTAACCTTATCCTCAATATGAAGATGTGCATAAGTAATTTACAAAATAAGAAGATATGTGAGGGAAACATGGCGTTCAGTGGAAAAAGCCCGCCTTAAAGTAATTATTTTTATTTTTATTATAAATAGTAGTTTCATTATTAGATTTAGAGGTGTTCAAATTCACTCTCAAACACACACAAACTCAGAGTATCCAGCGAAGCACGAAATGAGTCTCACGAGTGCAATATATGTTTGATCACTAAAATTCCATTTAGGCAAAACTTTTCATTAAATTTTCTTTACTTTCCTTTATGTTTCATGGTTGAAATATTTACATTTCCAGTCAAAACTTTACTTTCACTTGCTTTAAATTTCACAACGTGATCTTTACCACGGTCAAAATCACCCAAACTCTTATTACTTTTACCATATTTGAAAAACTCCTTGCACATTGTTTTGAGATTCACTAGTCGATCTCGGAAAGTAACCTTTAATAAGAGACTAGCGTTGTTTACTAAATTGGCACGTCCAGTGGGACATTGTGTGTCACTACACAAACACGGCCGCCATCAAATGTTATTTATCCCCAGAAAGGAAAAGGAAAACATCGAGAAAACCCAAAAAGGGGATGAACAAGTACTAGCGACCAAATTCGGATTCGGGTATCGATTATGCAAGGAGAAGGTGTTATCACCTCTCACGTCTGTTGTACTCAATGAGATTCATTCTTGTGGTTCTAATCAAAGGGTGTGTTATATCTAAAGCTTAATTTCTAAGGGAATGCATGAAAGAGTTAATAAGGGAAAAACAAAAGGTTTTTATTATTGAGTTCGTCTGAGTTTTGTAACCCAATGCCTATGTATCCCCGGAAGGAATTAGAACTTTGTAGTTCTCTTCAAAAAGATTTTGGTTTGTTGTATATTTTTTTAGGAACGATATTAAGTTTGCATTCTAGCAGTTAGACGAATTTGTTTGCGGTAGAAAGAAATTGACATGTCCTTTTTTAAAAATGTTTTAAAGAAAAGCCCTAAGGCAAAGAAGATTTTAATTTGTTGAGTGTTTTGTTATGAGAATACATCAAATGGTCCTCCAAGGCCGGAGATATCTGAGTACTTTTCCTTTAATTTTTGAAAGTGTTCAAGTATTATTAAATGTTTTGGGTTTATGATCACAATATAATTTTAGTCTTAAGAGAATGCAATACAAAAGAAAGAATAAAATTCTAAAGGGGAAATGGGTCCTATTTGTTATCATGTAATGATGGACTTAAGGTTGAGATATCAAGGGATTCTCTATCCTAAAGTTATCATGCAATAATGACTATAAGGTAAGGATGAAAGGGAAATCCTAAATATGTTATCATACTTAGATATCAATTATAAGGTCTACCTCAATTCAATCTCAAATTAATTGAATCAAGATCCTAAGGGTGCATGTGAACATACAAAGTAAGCAAAGCAACAACTTGAAAGTAAAAGGTAATAACTCAAAACAAATCTCAAGTACTTAACCAAGACTCAAGACAATTAACAACTTCAACTTTTAGAGGTAACCATCAACACAAATCTTAAGTACTTAACCAAGACTCAAGACAAGTCATACTTAACCAAGAAAGACTAAAAAACAAACATAACTTAAGCTTAACAAGACTCAGGACAAACATAACTCAAGCCTAACAAGACTCAAGACAAACAAGAGTCAACTAAGCAAGTATTAGGTAAACAAAGCATCAAGCCTAAGATTTTTGGTAACAAACAAAGTAACATCAAACAAGTGATCAAGACACATCATAAAGATTGATATCAAAGATCTACAATACAAAACCCTAAGGAAAGTAATAGCTCATGTCACAAGGAATCACATTTTAAACTTCTAAGGTTAATAAATAACATATCACAAGAAACTCAAGGCAAGGCATACAAGACATGATATAAGAAGGGAATTCACTTTCCCAAAACAAGTTCTCTAAATAACAACAAAACATGGCAAGATTAGACAAAACAAGACCCTAAAGTTACAACACTTGTCAAGGCATGGCATCAAAACATTTGGACATGATTTAACAATCAACAAGTTTTAAAAAGCAAGTAAATCAAACAACTTTAATTTGTGGCCCTAAACATGCAATAGGTTCTATTATACCCTAACAAATGTATCATAATTTGCAAAGGCAAAGCAACAAGTCCAAACATCAAGTAAGATGGACATACACTCCAAGAGAAGAAACAAACTCAAGTTGAACATATAATTCAAAGTATTAATCCATGCTTCAAGCTTAAAGGTAACAACCTAAACATCATGAAAAATCTTCAACATTTAACTCAAATTAGTTCATGGCATCATGGGCCTAATCATAAGATTCAAGCCATGAAGCAAGATTCAACAATCAGCACAAAGTTTCAATCATCAAGGT